TCCAGTCACAAGGTTCACCCTCTGCATTTTTGGCCTAACCTCAGTCAGAAGGTTTACTCCTTGCATTTTTGCTCAAATTCCTGTCAGAAGGTTAACCATTTGTATTTTATGCAAGTTCCAATCAACATGTTAACAAATTCCGGTCACAAATCTAACCCTTCCATTTTTTACTTGAATACCAGTCACAAGGTTAACACCTTGCATTCTGGCCCTAATTCCAATGTCAAGGTTCACTCCTGGCTTTTTTGCCCGAATCAGAAGGTTAACCCTTGGCATTGTCGCCCATGTTTCAGTCACAAGGTTTACACCTTGCATTGTTGCTCAAACTCCTTGCATTTTTTCCAAAATCCAGTCACAAATTTAACACTTCCATTTTAACTTGAATTTCATGTCAGAAGGTTAATGCCTTGCATTTTCACGCCAATTTCATAAACAAGGTTGAGTCCTTGCATTTGTGCCTGTATCCCAGTCAGAAGGTTTTCACCTTACATTTTTGCCCAAATTCTTCTCGGCAGGTTAATCCCTTGTAGTTATCCCCTAGTTCCAGTCACAAGGTTTACCCCTCAAGTTTTAACACAAATTCCAATGACAAGGTTCACTCCTTGCATTTTTGCCCGAATCCCATTCAGGAGGTAAACTCTTTGCATTTTTGCCCCAATTTCAACCAGAAGGTTAACCCCTTGCATTTTTACTCTAATTTTAGTCACAAATGTGCCCTTTGCATTTTTGCTAGTCCAAAGGTTTAACCCTTCAATTTTTACTGAAGTTCTACGTTCACTCCTTGCATTTTTGCCCAAATTCCATTCATAAGATTAACCCCTTGTATTTTCAGCAAGGTTTATCCCTTGTATTTTTGCTGGAATTCCAGTCACCAGGTTAACCCACAGCATTTGTGACTGGAACTTGGATAAAAATGCAAGGGTTAACCTTATTTCTGGAATTTGGAAAAACACTGAAGGGGTTAACCTTGTGTCTGAAATTTTGATAAAAATGCAAGGGGTTAACCTCGTGACTGGAATTTCGATAAAAATGCAAGGGGTTAACCTTGTGACTGGAATTTCGATAAAAATGCAAGGGGTTAACCTCGTGATTGGAATTTCGATAAAAATGCAAGGGGTGAACCTTGTTTCTGGAATTTGGATAAAAATGCAAGGGTTAACCTTGTGACTGGAATTTCGATAAAAATGCAAGGGGTTAACCTCGTGATTGGAATTTCGATAAAAATGCAAGGGGTTAACCTTGTTTCTGGAATTTCGATAAAAATGCAAGGGGTTAACCTCGTGACTGAAATTTCGAAAAAAATGCAAGGGGTTAGCCTTGCGACTGGAATTTCGATAAAAATGCAAGGGGTTAACCTCGTGATTGGAATTTCGATAAAAATGCAAGGGGTAAACCTGGTTTCTGGAATTTCGATAAAAATGCGAGGGTTTACCTTGTGAGGGGAATTTCGATAAAAATGCAAGGGGTGAACCTTGTGATTGGAGTCCCGATAAAAATGGAAGGGGTTAACCTTGTGACTGGAATTTCGATAAAAATGCAAGGGTTGACCTCGTGATTGGAATTTCGATAAAAGTGCAAGGGGTTAACCTTGTGAGGGGAATTTCGAAAAAAATGCAAGGGGTTAACCTCGTGATTGGAGTTCCGATAAAAATGCAAGGGGTTAACCTCGTGATTGGAATTTCGATAAAAATGCAAGGGGTTAACCTTGTGACTGGAATTTCGATAAAAATGCAAGGCGTTAACCTTGTGACTGGAATTTCGATAAAAATGCAAGGGGTTAACCTCGTCATTGGAGTTCCGATAAAAATGCAAGGGTTAACCTTGTGACTGGAATTTCGATAAAAATGCAAGGGGTAAACCTTGTTTCTGGAATTTCGATAAAAATGCAAGGGGTTAACCTTGTGACTGAAATTTCGAAAAAAATGCAAGGGGTTAGCCTTTTGACTGGAATTTCGATAAAAATGCAAGGGGTTAACCTTGTGATTGGAATTTCGATAAAAATGCAAGGGGTTAACCTTGTTTCT